CAGTATTCGAGGTTAGACCTGACCATTGCTTTATATGCCAAAGATTTTGTTTCTTCATTTTTTACCTGCAAATTTCTTTTTAGAAAACCCAGTATCTTATTTGCCTTAGAAGTTATATTATTAATATGCAGTTCCCAGGACATGTTGTAGGATAATGTTACCCCTAAATATTTTGCTGTCTTTATAGATTCTAATGTGTGTCCTTTCAAATTATAGGTATATTTTACTGGTGTGCGAGATCTGGTAATACTGAGTGAATTACATTTTTGAGGATGAAATTGCATTCCCCAGATATGTTCCCAATTAGCTAACGAGTCAAGATCTTTTTGAAGAATTACACAGTCATTTTGATTATGAATGGGTCGATACAGGATACAATCATCGGCAAAGAGCCTTATATTTGATGTAACAGAAGATGGTAGGTCATTTATAAAGATTAAAATTAGAAGGGGCCCAAGGACTGACCCTTGAGGAACCCCGCTGACCACAGCCATTGGACTAGATACCTCACCATCAAGGACAACCTGTTGTACTCTGTTGCTGAGAAAAGCAGAGACCCACCTCCAGGTGTTACCACGTATTCCATAGTTATCCAACTTTCTCAGCAACTTTTGGTGAGGCACCTTATCGAATGCCTTTGAGAAGTCCAGTATAATCAAATCAGTTTGAGTGTTTGAGTGTAAATTTTCCAATAATTCATGGCTAAGAATAAGTAGCTGAGTTTCGCAACTTCTCTTAGCTCTAAATCCATGTTGGCAATCTACTAAAATATCATATTGATCTAAATGGTTCAAGACGTTGCTGACAACTATATGTTCTAGAATTTTACAACAAATGCATGTTAATGAAACAGGTCTATAATTACTAGCCAAATATTTTTCCCCCTTTTTGAATATAGGAATGACATTTGCTTGACGCCAGTCTGCAGGTACCTCCCCTTGTGCCAATGAGATGTTAAAAATATGTGCAAGGTGTGGAGCGAATTCAGATGAATATTGTTTAAGGATGCGAGCTGGTATTTCATCTGGCCCTGTGGCTTTGCTAGGATCTAATTTATCTAATAATTTTTGTGTGCCATTTACAGTTATGTGTATATCTTGCATGGATGGATAATTGTCATTTAATTGTGGTATATGTTCTTGGTCATTTTCAGGTGTGAAGACAGAATGATATTGTTTATTAAGAATTTCCGCTTTCTGTTTGGTATCGTCAATGAGTATCCCTTCAGATCTTAAAGGGGCTACTCCTGAACTGTCTTTTTTGGTATTGCTAATATAATTCCAAAACTTTTTCTGTTTTTGTGAAGTCTCTATATTTTCATCATAACAAATAATATTCTCCAAATAAGTCCAATATGCTTTCCTTGTTTCCCTTTGTAATTCATGTTTTATGTCTTTGTATTTCTTGGTGCTTATACTGTTTGTATGTTGTTTCATATTTTTTAAGAGTTTGTTTCTTTTTCTAATTAGTGATTTAATTTTCCTATTTATCCAAGGCAACCTTTTTTTTGAATTGTTTATCATTTTAGATGGGATGTTTTCATTCATGATATCTAATACTTTGGTTCTAAATTCACCCCACATATTGTCTATATTCTGATCTTATAATGGATTTTGACTGTCTATGTTCATGTTTTGTATATTCTCTTTGATTTTCTCTGTGTTGGCTTTATTGTAGAGATAGATTTTCCTAGGTGGTTTTTTAACTTTTCTTGGTTTTAAACTAGCTTCTATGTAAACTATTTCATGGTCGGATATACCAGGTATAACTTCTACTTTGTTCACAAGGGAACTGTTGGAAGTGAAGAAAAGATCAATTGTTGATTGTGATGTAGCTGTTATATGTGTTGGTTTAGTAACAACTTGTTCAAGATAATTATCCTGGCAGATATCTAACATTTGCTTACACTGTTTTGTATTCTGTGAATTTGGTATGGTAGAATAAGTGATCCAATCAATACCTCCCAGGTTGAAGTCCCCCCCCTAACCACAGATATGAGTTTTCACTTTGTCTTATTCTTTGAATGGACTTTTCAAGGTGAGTGAGATACTCGTCTTCTGTTTGTTTTGGTGGTTTTTAAAAACTACCTATATACAGGTCTGGTGACCCTATCACTTGCAACTTGACCCAGAGTTGTTCACTAGTGACATCTGACTTCAGATCAGTAGGTTCCGAACTAATGTATTTATCTGACACAAGTACAAATACCCCACCATGCGAGTCACTTTTGCGATCATTTCTGTAGCATGTGAAACCACTCGGGAAAACCTCTGATCATTGAATATCTTTGTGCAGCCATGACTCATTACCTATGATAATATCTGGTTTAGTTGATTCAACAAGATTTTCTAAGTCTGCCTTTTTATTTCTGACAGATTGACAATTGATAACTATCACTCTTAAAGGTACATCTGATCTTTTAAACTTAGTGTAGTTTGATCGTGTGTTCGAATTTTGTACAGGGGAGGATGTTGCTGTTGGACTTCCTATACTTTTGTCATTAAATGATGAGTCATTTAGATGTTCATAAATATTTGTACTCAAAAATGAAGATGTGTCAAATATGCACGTTGAAAAATTTGGAAGGCCACAAAGATCGCATTCCCATGATGCATTATGCAAACCCTGATAGATTAATGTGTTCATGCCTAGACATTCTTTGTGGTACCATACGCTGCAAGAATCACAACAGACACCTGCAGTTTTCCATGTGACAGCTCTTTTACAAGAGCCACATGGGTACTTAGGTGTCCTTGGACCAGGATTAGGTTATGGTGCATATGAGTTTGCTAACAAGATGGCACATGAGTAAGACTTGCTTTTCTGGTTTCCAGATTTTACAGCTAGTGTCTCTAATAATAAACAGTGTTTCCATGGACACACTGATGCCAAAAGTATTTTTATTTTTAGATGCAAACCTGAGTGTTGTTTAGGGGTGATTGTTCTTTCTTCTGTAACAAATTTAACAGAGTACAGCCTCTCCCTTGGGAGAAGAGTCTCAGTCCCGATGTATGAGGCTAGGAGATTAAGCAGCAAGTAAAAGGTTATGATAGCCTGAAATTTCATTGTCGGTAGGCAAAGATTAGCTCAAAATCCAGATTGTAATGTGGTGCACGAAACAAGAAACATAGGTGAATCTATGACAGACAATAAGGTTAGCTTACTTGGGTGTTAATCTTCACACGCCGGGCGACTCAGCGTTAAGGTACACCTACAGAGAAATAAAGCCAGGTCTAGGTCTTTTTTTGCTGCGAGATGTCCGTCTGTTATGTCGGGAATAGGATAGCAAAGCCCCCAAAGGTGATAGGTATGTAATGGGAAAAAAAAAATGTTTACAATGCTGGATTGTTTACTTCCGGTACTCGGAAGTCTCGGGCTTAGCCCTTGCCTATATGTTACCTAGTGAAAAAAAGTTTGTCAGAGTTATTTATCTGGTAATTACCCGAAAAATATCTTTAAAAGGTACAAAAACCTACGATACACACTATATGTCAGCCATAAAACAACCTTGAAAGGTACTTATACAAAAACATTAATGTACTTCTCTGCACGAAAAAACCCGCCGGTCCGTTCACGCAGGCGCAAATGTGCATCATAACATATCTCTACAATATCCTCGGTACTCAGATATGCAAAATTTTCGAATTTTATTCTGTCCATATTGCTCCTAAAGCATTTACTACTTCTCTCCTGTTCGTGTTATCCTTTCCTTGTCTAGAAAATCCATGTCTCTCACTTAAATAATTACCCCCTTTTTTCCATGAAATACCAGAAAACAATGGTCACAGGCGACGAAACCAAAGGGGGGGGGGGGGCTATAGGGTGTTTTTTTTTGTCAAAAATAGACATAATATAGGCATTGAACATTGGGGCTTTGGTTTAGCCCCCATCCCCTTTCAGTCATAATTATTAGGATTGTTATATAGGGATGGAGATCTCTTGTTGTTGGCAACAAGTATTTAGTTATTTTTAAAACATTATGTTTTTATATCTTCGTTTAAAGTTTAGGAAGCACATAGATCGAAACTTTCTTAATTTAACCGTAAGAATAAAAAGATGCAATTTATTAGTTGCGAGCGGAGATTGGGTCTTCCTTCTAATTTTTCATATAATATTTTTCTGAGATTTTAGTTCAAATGTAATGATATAAATAATTTGGTGAGATGAACAATTTTGCTTCAATAATATATTTCAAAATTTGATCATTGAAGTGATTAAAGACTTAAGGCTCCTTAATTTGAGGAACTAGTCCCTCCTTTTTATTTTACCTTAAAACTCTTAAGATTTCGACCACTTTTTATTCAACAACTATTCAAAGATTTTTTTCTGTTCCAGAGATATTTGCAAAAGAAATATTTAGGTGCAAATTCTTAATGGGAACGTTAAGCAAAATTGAAAGGTGACATGTTATTCAGAACATTATTTTGAACATTTTTATGCGCCTGGATCGAAAGATCCGAGAAGGCGTATATTGTTTTTGTCCTGTCTGTCTGTCTGTTTGTCTGTTTTGCTGTTTGTCTGTTTTTCTGCAAACTTTAACCTTCGTCATAACTTTTGAACCATGAATGATAGAGACTATGTAATTGGTATGCATACTACACTATATTAAGCTCTTCCAAATGACACCAAGGTCAATGATCTTGTGACCTTGACTATGACCTATATGCTAAAAATATTTTTTTTCTGCAAACTTTAACTTTCACCATAACGTTTTAACCATAAAAGATAGAAACTTCATGTTTGGTATGCATACACCACTTATTGAGCTCTTTTAAATGACACAATGATCAATGACCTTGTGACCTTGACTGTGACCTATACACTAAATAGAGCTTTTGTGTTGGCAAACTTTAACCTTTGCCATAACTTTTGAACGAAGAAAGATAGAGACTTACTATTTGGCATGCATGCTCCACTAATTAAGCCTTTTCACAGGACTCCAAGGTCACTGACCTTGTGACCTTGACTGTGTCCTATATGCTAAAAATAGCTTTTTAAAAAAAATCTTAACCGTAACTTTTGAACCATGAGAGATAGAGACTTCATATTTGGTATGCGGACTTAGTAAAAAAGTTCTTTCAAATGACACCAACATCAATAACCTTGTGACCTTGACTTGACCTAAATTCTAAAAATATTTTTTTAACTTTTTTTGCCGCCGGGCGCATTGTGTTTTACAAACACATCTTCTTTGTTCAATATTACTTATCGATATATTTTCCTTTTTCAAATATAAAGCGTCGAAGATTTAGTTTTCTGGCCCTTTTGGTCCCTATTTATTTAACATGACGTAAAAATCAGATGATATAGCTGTAAATTATTAAAATAAAGATTTTTGCGCCAGTAAAATTTTATACAAAAATATTGCTTGTAAAGAGTTATTGATTTAATTTTTTTGGCCCCTTTCAGTCCCTTAAATGATAGGTCAGCGCTGTTTTTTTTAATATCATGTTCAAGGTCTTGTCATTCTGCACAAATATTGTTCATGTTTTAACAAAATAAGTATTCTTCAAAAGATATGATACAACTTTTATTCGGATTTTTTCTTCTTCAGAATCTGGGGTTACAGTTTCATAAAGTTTCGTTAAAACTGAATGATTTAAGTTTTTATCTCGAACTTTCTTAATAACTACCAGTATGTCAATTGTTAATTGTATTCTTCGCTGATACTGTATTCAGGAGAAAACTCTATGAATTCAGTATTGGTTATGTCTAGGGGGCAGGTATAAGTCGTCAATATTCCGCCTTGGACTCTAACCAAGACAGTTCTAGTATCTTTGATGTCCAAGGATAGTGTAAACTCGTCGGAAAATACTGCTGGATTCGCACCAATGAAAAATTCCTTTTGCCATGAACCATCTACGAAAGAGTTCAAAACTATCTGATATGATGGAAACCTTGGATTAAAATGCAGAATGATATCCTTCCCTTCGCCCATCTCTTGTCTGAAATTTACGGCCATTCCGCTGAAAAATGAATTGGTAAAAAAGATTATAACGAACTTGAGAGAGAGAGAGAGAGAGAGAGAGAGAGAGAGAGAGAGAGAGAGAGAGAGAGAGAGAGAGAGAGAGAGACTTACCCCGGTTTTTCATTTCCTTTCTTGTTATATTTCACTCTGAAAGTTATCTTCTGACCAACCTCTATTTCATTTCCAATATGTTTTAGACGGATCTATTCAATCATAAATGTAATTCAGATAAATCCTATCAAGTTTTAAGTACGGAGCAAAAAAATTCAAATAATTGATTTCTCAAATTACTTTAAGACAACATCTATTTAATTAGTGATTTCTGATAATCAACTTTATTCCCTCGTCAGGTAATTTGATACGTATATGAACTGATATAATGATAACAACGCTTAATCCAATGAACTAATCAAATCAATTTTGCTCCTATCATTTCAAAAAAGAATTCAACATTGACGAAATGATCGTAAATCGCAATTTATAGCTCCGTAAACAATTATTTACCTTTATTACAAAATTAAAAAATATATCTTCTTTCAGAAAAAAAATATTTAATTAGATTAAAGTTTTTTTTATAAAAGGAATCTTTGAAAAGAAGAAAGTTTTTTGCAGAAAAACTGATGTACTCTTCAATCAATTGAATAGTAACAGCACTAGATTTTTTTAAAGCCCCGAACTTGCTCATAAAGTTTTACAAAATTTCATTCCAAACGCGAATCGAATTACCCCAAAACAAGGACAATATTATAACAAAAAAATCTCCAAATAATTTATTGTACGTACAAAAGAAGATTTATAAATGTACTGGATCCGGAGCTCAACGTGTAACACTGTAGCTCATCAGATATAAAATAGATCTTCAACTTATGAGATTATATGCTTGCAATCGTTAATATCATGTTTTGCAAACAAAAAAAAAAAAAAAACCCGAAGATACTAACATATCCCATCTTTGTATTTTCAGTTTCTTCTTTTATCTTCTCTGAAAGTTATAATGCCTAAAATTCAAAATATATACTATATTTAAAACGTTAAACATATGGAGATAACGAACAGTATCACGAGTATTCAAGATCAAAAGTTCATAAAACAATACAAAATAGGAGCATAGAAAGCATGAACTTCCAAAACATCAGAGATGGGCTCAGATGCCATGGAGGTGAGCATCCCCTGCCAATCGGTCACACCCGCCGTGTCTCAATGATAATTTGTATTTGCTGACAAGGTCATTGTATCGACCATAGAAGGAAATGATGACTATAAACGAGACGGCTGATATTCTTGTTTCATCAATTTGCTTGTCAATAATTTACCTCGTATTAGAAATTGTTCATACGTAGAGCATGCTATTGCGTATCGAATCAACTGAGTTATATAAACTCCGTATTCAGGTGATGAAGGTATATTGCTGCATAAGTAAGCAAAGTTGACGATAGAAAAGTCTGAGTCATCACGTAAAATCAGAATTGAAATTGAGTGATACAAACTTTATTAGCTCGAATTACAAGCTCATTTCTTTATCAATCATTTTCGAATTACATGTACGAACGTGTATTGTTTTATTTAATTTATTATTTTCCTTCTTATAATGGAATCGGGATAGGGTCACACAGTTCACTATCTCACCATCAAGCATATACTAAAAGATCGAAGGCGCGATAAAGTGATGTCGCCATAACGATGAATGGAAGGAACGATGACAAAACGGCTATGGTGCAATAGCGCGATGACGATGATAGGATGATACGTACCACCGTGCCTCTCATTGCACCATGGTATCATCGCTTTTATTGCATCATCGCTATATGGCTTCATAATTCCATTGCACCATAGTTATCGCATTGTTGCGCCACTGCATCATCGCCCTCGCGTTATCACACTATCGCTTCATCATTATCGCTGCATTGTTTCATTGACATCGTATTATTGCGTCATTGCACTTTATTATTCAAAACCCCAAATAGAGCGATAATGCGATAATAAAGTAAATGACTATCCGAAAATCGTATTTAATAGTTGTATTTGTTTTTTTTTAATTAAATTAAAAAAATGATAAGAATCTTTATTAATAGTCTGATGACTGATTGCTATTTCAATTAGTAAAAAAGAGATTTGCCAGTATAAAGAACTGAAATGAAAATGAAATTTACTTACCAAAAGCAGAATGAAATATTTTAATTTAATTTCACGTGAATATATTTAAATACCCATGTTTTAAGGCGTGTCAAAGAAGTGGCCAATCAAAAGGCACGAAATCACCATCTGAACAATTGATATGATCATGTATTTTATTCTACATTGTTTCTAAAATAAAATATAATCCTTGACACACAAAACAACCAACCAGTTGCAACGTAAACTAGTGCTAATTGTAACGGGAACCGTTACAGATGTTCCCCAAACGCTCCCCAACTCCCTTTTCGTGCCATATTCCATGTAAGCCTTATTAAATAAGACAACATCTTTGCATTTTTGACTTTAACAACGTTTTCCCAAAAGGATACCAATTATATTCAAATTTTAACATTGTACCCGTGCACATGTGAATGCACGTGCGTGCTTATCATTTAATCATGCCTACACTTTCTATATCTTTAAATATACTTTATATTAAAGCATTTAGTCCAAAAGTATTAAGAATCACTAATTCAAGTGTATTTTTAATTTCACTCGTTCCAAATGCACGCATGTGCGTGCACTGCATGATGACCATACCTTCTTGTAGGAGGCCCTTATATCTATCTATGTTCTAAATCCCATCCTGTTTGGTTGAAAACCAAGGAAATTATAGCCATTTCAAGTTTCAGCCAATCAGATTGCAGCACACGTGCATCCACGTGATTTCAAGAATTTTTTTCTAAATCATAGTGTAGAATAGTTTCAGCCAATCAGATTGCAGCACAAGTGCATGCACGTGATTTCATGAATTTTTTTGTATATCATATTGCAGGATATCCTAATGCATGACTATGTTTTAAATTTCAAAGCATTTCGTCAAAAAACAAAGGAGATATAGCCATTTAAAGTTTCAGCCAATCAGATTGCAGCGCACGTGCATGCGCGTGATTTCATGAAATTCTTTCATATTATATTGTAGGATATCCTAATTCATGACAATGTTTAAAATTTCAAAGCATTTCGTCGAAAAACAAAAGAGATATTGAGATTTTTGTTTCAGCCAATCAGAGCAAGGCGCACGTGCATGCGCGTGAGTTCGTGCTAATTTGACAGTGTCATATTATTAACACTATTAATATATCCTTATGTAATGAGTTTCAAAGTATTTCATCGAAAAATGTAAAAGTTATAGCTATATTAAGTATATCAGCCAATTCACTCATTTCACGCGCACGCACGTGCATGCGTATGCGCGCAAAATGACCTTCGTTCCGCACACCTACACTACACAACTATTAACCCTAAAAAGGTTTTAGCTCAGTTGGGTGAACAGTTTCTGAGAACACTCGCGGACAAAAAAAGTACCGGAGAAGAAATAAGAAAAAAAATAATAACTAGTGCTAATTGTAACGGGAACCGTTACAGATGTTCCCCAAACACCCCCCAACTCCCTTCTCGTGCCATATTCCCTGTAAGTTTCATCAAAGAAAGCACAATCTATGCATTTAAGACGTAAACAAAGTTTTCCAAAAAGTATACCAAGTATTTCTTTTTTTTTTTTTTTTTTTTTTTTTTTTTTAAATTTTAATAATTTTATTAATCATTAATATGCAAACCCGTTTACAATTCCTAACTAACCCGGGCCAGGATAGTTAGTATAACAAAAAAATAAAGTACCATATATTTAGTTAAAGCATTTCTACAAATGTCACCATCTTATTTTTATACATGTGAGTTTTTGTTGAATTCAGTAAAATGTTCATATTGTTTATAATATTTGTTTTTACATAGGAATATAACAAATCTTCTGTTTCAGTTTTGTTCTGAACTCTACAAAACATTTTAAATTTATATATCTTGTATGCTAAAAAAGAAACAAAAGTATTTAAAAATTGTATTTTGGAATTCCGTTCAAAATAAAAACCTAGGACGACATGTTTCCACTGCACATCAAAATTTAACACAGAACTCAGATTTTTCCATAGTATATGAACATGATCACAATCAAAAAGTAAATGTTTAATATCTTCAATTTCATCACACATATTACATAAAGCAGAAGTTCTATATTTGCATTTAAAAAGAAAACTGTTACAACACAATATATTATTCAACAATTTATAGTTAAATTCACATATTCTTTTGTCATAGATGTCTTTAACCTTATTTCTATATATATCCTTCCAACTCTCCTGAGCAACAGAAAATAATTTTTTATACATTAATTGATGGCTTGGGGCTTTAAATTTCTTACAGAGTAAATTATCGTAAAAAAATTTACATTTTTTATCTTCAATACAATATACACCATTTACAAAATCAAAATAACGCTCCCCTATATTCTGTATGTATGCACAGCAAGTCATATTGAATCTTAAAGATTTTTTATAGATCGCTGTTTTTAATATTTTGTATTCACACATCCAATTTGATTTTTGTTTTAAATCATCGGACAATTCTTGTAGAGTTTTAAATTTTCCATTTTTATTAAAAAGGTCTTTAACATGTGTTATCCCACTTTTGATCCAATTTTTAAAACATAGTGTTTTGTTTTCATATTTAAACATATTATTATTCCATATTGGTTGCTGAGCAAAACTTACATTAGACAATTTAGTTTCATCTATATATCTTTTACAATCATTAAAACTGCAAAATACTTCTTTATAAAAAACCGACATGTTTGAAATGATTTTAAAGTCTGGGGATTTTGTCTCCGATAATGATAATAGATAGTTGATATCAATATTAAGACTATTTAAATATCCTCTTATTATTTCGCCTATTATACACTTTTTATCTATCAAGTATCTAGCCCATGCCGCCTTTAAGGCCTTGAATTTCAATTCAATATCTATCACACCTATACCTCCATCTTCTTGTTTTCCGATCACAGTATCTCTTTTAATTCTATCGCGCTTATTCCATATGAAGTTAAATATGCTTCTCTTAATTTGTCGAATATGTTCGGGATCGGGCATTGGTAATATTGAACCCATGTATATAAGTTTTGACGTAGCTAAAGAGTTAACGACACATGATTTCCCAAAAATAGTCAATTTTCTTTTTTTCCACGATTCAAAGAGTTTTTCCATGTTTTGAAAAGTCTTTAGCCAGTTCAATTCATAACATTGAATTTTATTATGGCCAATGTGTATACCTAAACATCGAACAGCATCATTTGTTACATGTATGCCGTCTATGTTAGTGTATTTATCTTTTAGACTGCCCAATAATATACATTGTGTTTTGCTTATATTGACCTTTGAACCAGCGTGTTTACAAAAATCATTAACAGTCTTAACTGCAACATTCAAAGAAGATATATCTTTTAAAGCCAATGTGATATCGTCTGCATGCTGAATATTTTTAATATCCCTTTTCATGTTTAAAACATTAATACCCTGTATTTCATTGTTATTTTTAATTTTTAAGGCCAGTATTTCTGCCACAAATAGATACAATAGAGCTGAAATAGGACATCCTTGTCTGATACCTCTATTCATGCTACATGTTTTAGAAATCCAACCATTATTTTTAATTCTGAATATTGGTTTATTATATAAAATTTGGATCCATTGAAGAAAATTATCACCGAAGTTAAATTTTTTTAGAACTTGAAAAAGAAAATTCCACTCGACTGAATCAAAAGCTTTTTCAAAATCTAAAAATAGTAATATTCCGTCTTTTTCATTATCCATGCAATATTCATAAATGTCTAAAATCAATCTTGCATTAATACCTATGTAACGACCTTTGATATATGCTGATTGTTCATTACTAATTAATTTATCTATGACGCTTTGTAATTTTTTGGCTAGAACAAAAGCTATAATCTTGTAATCGGTATTTGTTAAACTCAATGGTCTATAGTTTTTAAGATTATTCTTGTCGCCCTTTTTAAATAAAAGAGTGATAAGTGCCAATCGCTGAGAATATGGTAATTCGTCTTTTTCAAATATAGTTAATATTACATCGTAAAAGAGAGGACCAATCTTATTCCAAAAACATTTATAAAATTCCCCTGGTAATCCATCTAATCCGGGAGATTTGTTACTTTTTAAATTGTATACCACATCAGAGCATTCATCAAATGTTGGAAATGTGTCACAAAACTTTCTATCGCGATCACTGAGTTTTGGACATTCAATGTCTTGTAGATATGAAGAAATTTTGTTACCATCAACAGATTTGCTTGTATATAAGTTTTCGTAAAAAAGACACATTTCTTGTAAAATTTCACTATTACTTGCAATGGTTTTATTATTCTTTTTTAATTCAGTTATTGTATTATTCGTTTCATGTTTCTTTTCCAAACCTAGAAAGAAACTAGTATTTCGCTCTCCTTCGCTTATCCATTGCGCTTTTGATTTATTTGAGCTCCTTTAGCAATTTCATCATACATTGCATCTAATTCTTTCTCTAGTTTTCGCTTTTCATTCATATCAATTTCTAGACTAGGCAAACATTCAATTTTATCGATTTTTTCCTCAAGTAATTATACTTTATATTTTATATTATGTTTGGATTGTTTCGCGTATTTAATAGAATAATCACGTACATTTATTTTAAACGTTTCCCATTTTAAAATTGGATCTAGCGTTTCATCAATGTTGTTAAATATTTCCTCTATACCGTGTTTGTAATCATCATTGTCAAGGTGAGATACATTCAATTTCCAGTAACCTGCACCTCTATCTAATTTACTAAGATTTAAAGTACATTTAAGATATCTGTGGTCACTTAACCGAGTGCCATTATTGTGAGTACCAGGAATTCGTCTGACAATGATATTTTTTACACTTTCTATAAAGTCTTTATTTACAAAAATATAATCAATCCTACTTTTTGGACAATTTTCTGCATCACACCAGGTATAACCGTTGATATTAGGATTTTTATTAAGCCATACGTCGACTAAGTCGAATTTATTTAATAGTTTATTTAATTTTTTATTGGATTTATCATTTTCTTTATCAAAATTGCAATTAAAATCACCTCCTATTATGATTGTACTATTTTGCGCAGAAAACGAAGAAATATATGTATTAAGAGTTGTTAAGAAGGCTAATCTATCTGACTCTTTATTAGGTGCGTAAACGTTAATAATTGTAAATGAGTCATCGTCTATTTTTGCATTAACAAGTATTTTCCTACCATCATTAGACTTATGAACATTTAAAATATCTACATTACATTCTCGTCTAAAAAGAATAGAAACTCCTCTACTAAAAGGAGAATCTGAAAAAGCATGAACTATTTTCCCATTCCATTTTCTATTATAGTTTTCTACATGTTTTTCAACAAAATGAGTTTCTTGTAAAAGTATTATATCTATTTTACACTCTTCTAACCATGTAAAGATTTTTGCTCTTTTTTCCGGCGAATTAAGACCTCTTACATTCACCGAAAGTAAACTTAAATTGTTCATTTGTATGGTTGATATAAATGTGTAATAATGTTATAAAAAGGGAGGGGGGATAAATTAGGTCTTATCACTTAACAAGTAAAAATAGAACATACCAATTCATTACAGCATTTTTAAAGTATGCCAAAATTGTCTGTAAATAGATATAACTGAGCACATACCGAAGTTCATGAAATGCTGCATCAGTCTGACCGGAGATAATACAGTTACTTACAAGTATCATCATCACAACTCTCCGTGCTAGGTTCATCACTGTCGGACATTTCTCTCAGCTGATTAAGCATTTGCGGTATTGTTTTTTGTTTCGAATGATCTTTTTGTTTTTGTTTTCTTTCGTTTTTTGCTGAATCACTCAGCTTTCGCTTTCGAACTTTTCTTGCGATTTTTTTCATCAGGACACCAAGAATATTTTTTCCTGGCCACTGTTCGGGTTTGGTGTTGCATGTACCATCTCGGTCAAGCCCTGAGCCCCATTCGTTGTTGTATGTTGCTTCAACGAATACTGTCGATTGCTTTGAAGTACACAACTTATCGCGGAAAACAGGGACCTGGACACATTTATTTTCCAAGATCTCCTCCATCACTGCCTCTTTGGTAGAATCCCACTGCTCGTTAGATTTTATTTTTTTGCCTAAGCGTAGAGCGGTAAGGGCATCATCGGCATCTTTGATGATATTGGCCGAATCTGGGTCACCGCATCTTACTGCCTTAATGTACTGAAAGGCATGTTCAGCCGACTTGTGTTTCATTCCAAAGATATCCAAATCGCAAGGGTAAAAATTGGATAGAACATCCTCTGCACCGCAGAAAGGGGTCAAATTCTTTTGTGGCTGGTAATGAGGGCACGCTTCATTCCCGGGGGAATGACCAGGTTGTTTGCATACCTTACAACAGGTTTCGAAGGAACAGTTAGAGCGGGTGTGGTCGGTTTTCCAGCAGTTTGTACATAAAAGGTGAATGTCCTTTTTGGGTTGACCATAGTGAAAAATCTTACACTGTATACCACCGCAGTAGTTAATTCTCGGAAGATATTTTCCGTCTGGAAGAGGTTCAATATACATAAACCTTGTTCCATTTAGGATACTTGTCATCCGGTTTGTCTCTGGATGGCGGATCTTTTCGTACAGAATTTTACTTGTTAATTTGACGTTCAGTTTGTTAAGTAATTCCTGTATCGCGGAATCTGCCACAGAGAGGGGGAGACCACATATCCTAAGTTTAAGGGTTCTTTGAGATACGGATGTAGCACCAGAGGTGTACGGGTTAGTATCATAGAATTGGTATGCTACACTATTGATGTCAATACCCTGTGTTAGGAGCTTATGTCGGCATTCTGTACTTTTGAGATAAATTCTCCACAGATTGCGGTCGAGTTGCACGCAAAGTAGATCATCACCGATTACCTTTTTTATTGGATCAATAAGATCAAAGTCAGTGATCTGTTTTTTTAAGGAAACCCGAAGATCATTGTTCTTTAAGTATAACGGCTTTGATGTTCTGTCAACCGAATCGAAATCACTCTCTGCCATCGCCAGGTGAAGTGTACAGGTAAACAGGTGAGTTGATATCACAGAAGAAATACCAAGTATTTCAAATTTAAACAATGCAGGCGTGCGCATGTGATTGCATGAGCGTAATGACGATATCATCTTGTCTACACTTTTTACTCATTGCACGTGCACACACGTGCATGATGACCATACCTTTTTGTGGGTGTCCATTATGTCTGTCTATGTTCTTAATCCCATCCTGTTTGGTTGAAAAACAAGGGAGTTATAGCCATTTAAAGTTTAAGCCAATCAGATTGCAGCGCACGTGCATGCGCGTGTTTTCATGACAATTATTATATATCATATTGTAGGACATCTTAAAGTATGCCTATGTTTTAAATTTCAAAGCATTTTGTAAAAAAACAGAAAAGATATTTAGATTTTTGTGTCAGCCAATCAGAGCAAAGCACATGTGCACGCACGTGCATGCATGTGAAAGGTGACCATACCATCTTGTAGGAGTTCTTTATGTCTATCTATGTTCTAAATCTCATGCTGTTTGGTTGAAAACCAAGGGAGTTATAGTCATTTAAAGTTTCAGCCAATCAGATTGCAGCGCACGTGCATGCGCGTGATTTGATGAAAAATTTTATATATCATGTTGTAGTACATCCTAATGCATGTCTATGTTATAAATTTCAAAGCATTTCATCATAAAACAAAAAAGTTATTAAGATTTCTGTTTCAGCCAATCAGAGCAAAGCGCACGTGCATGCGCGTGAGTTCATGCAAATTTGACCATGTCATCTTATCTACACATCTGATATATCTTTATATAATGAGTTTCAAAACATTTTATCAAAAAATATAAAAGTTACAACCATATTAAATATATCAGTCATTTTACTCACTTCACGCGCCCGCACGTGCATGCGTATGCGCGCAAAATGACCTTCGTTCGGCACATCTACACAACACACCTATTAACCCTAAAAAGGTTTTAACTTTGTTTGGTGAACAGTTTCTGAGAACACTTCCGGACAAAAAAGTACCGGAGAAGAAATAAGAAGAAAAAAGAATAATAATAATAAGAAACAGAGTAAAAACAATATGTTCCCAAACTCCGTTTGGGGAACATAATAATAAGAAACAGAGTAAAAACAATATGTTCCCAAACTCCGTTTGGGGAACATAATAAGATCATTTTAAACGTGGGGAAGCTTAACTTCAAATGAGAAACAACTTGTTGCGCTGCAAAAGAAAACACTATTAATTTCAGAAATTAATGATCTGGTTAGTTATTCGAGTGTGCAAGAAAATAAATGCAAATAATTGAGATAATAATTGCAATTTGATGACGAAATTTTTTTCCGAATCCTTACTAATTTTCACATTCTTTCATTATAAATGAAAAGGAACGAGAAATTAAAAGATGGACGCGCCACCGGCATGTGGCTATGGGTTTTCATTATTTCTTAATGGAATATTGAATCAACTATATGTATCCACTGAAAAGTATCAAATATATACATAGGTTGGACATCTAATTCTACCGTGAAAATCTATATATACAAGGTTAGGATTACAAATAAATTTCAAATTAATACAAAGAAAGGCATCTAACGAAAGAATTTATCGGCGAGTAAATATGTAAATTGTTAGAACATTGAAATACAGTACATTTTATTTTTGTCAAATATGATTGTTAGTTTGTAACATAGTAAAGCTGCACCCAGAAAAATCAGACTAGAGTTTATGATCAATCTACTATATAATCAAACAAGATATGTAAAAAGAAATGCAAAGAATTGTAAAGCAATTAACAGAAGAAATCCCAACACCTTTGTATTTAATGAGTAAAAGAAAACATGCTGGAATTCTGTTAAACTTTATATCACAGATACCTGTGCACTGGACTCCTCTTTCCTGCAATCTCCGGTATTTTTGGGGCTCTTTTTATGCAGGATTTAAATAACCTTATTTGATTGAGATAAGTCGTTTTAAGTTATTTCAAACAGCTAAAACCTTTGCATTGACACGTCTTTTACAAATAAGAAATCAATATTTCCTGTGCATGTGGGAGATCTGCTAACTAGATACAGAGTCACGGGTAAAAATAACCAACCACACGAACAATAAAAATTGTCAGAATTTAGGGACGACCTGCTTTTTTCAAGACAAAGGAAAAAGTTAAGAAGTCATAAAAAGAATGGAAACAGAAAAACAACAAAAATAAGATGTGTTTGTGAAACACAATGCGCCTGGTGGCAACAAAGTTCGAAAAAAAGCTATTGTTAGCATATAGGTCACAGTCGAGATCACAAGGTTATTGACCTTGGTATAATTTGAATGAACTTGATAAGTGGAGTATGCATACCCAATAAAAAGTCTCTATATCTCTCGTGGTTTAAAAGTTATGATGAAGGTTCAAAAAGCTATTTTTAGCATATAGATCACAGTCAAGGTCACAAGGTTATTGACCTTGGTGTCGTTTGAAGACTTTATGCGTGAAGTATGCATAGCAAATATGAAGTCTCTATCTTTCTTATTTCAAAAGTTATGGCGAATGTTACGTTGTAAAGTTGGAAGACAAAAACTATTTTAAGCATATATGTCACAGTCAAGGTCACAAGGTCATTGACCTTGGTGTCATTTGAAAGAAGTTTATTAGTGAAGTACGCATACGAAACATAAAGTATCTATCTTTAATGGTTTAAAAGTTATGACAGACAAATAGAAAGGACAAAAACAATATACTATAATGTAAACGTATTACATTTGGCTGTGAATTCTTTTTAGCGGCTTTGGCGGAATGCAGAAACCGCTAAATCAAGTACAAAGCTAAATGTCTTGTTTCAGTCACTTAAAAGTCATTTAAACTGACTGTAAAATGGCTTAGATTTATTTTATGCCATACTTTATTTGGATAAAAGTATTTCAGGGGAAACATTGATGTGATTTTTCATTATGACACAAATTTCAGTACAAAAAGGTCATATTAATTGTACTGCATCGCCAAAAGAAGCATATTCGCCCCCGTTTTTTTTTAAATCTGATTTTTAATTAAGATATGTGCATAGATGCTAAAAAAATATAATTGACAAATATGTTTAAGACATCAAATATCAGGAACCAACCTCGTTAAAAGCTGTTAATTGCAACTGTTCGGCATAAAATGGTCAGGTGATCGTGAAACGACTGCTTTTCAGCAATTTGACCACTAATTGAATACTAGTACTCTAGAATTTTAATTCGAGAAAAGAGCTAAGTTGACCATATTTGAATACTCCGACTTTACATCTTGCAAAATTGACTATAGTTGACTTCTCAGTGATAAAAAACCTCATTGACTCTATTTATATTGGGTTTGAAATGACATAATTTTTAATGGGGTTAGCAGTTCGATGAACTTTACAGCACATTAGATATGAATCAAGTAATGTGTGTCAATGTGTGTTTTGTCAAAAAAGTGGGAAATTTTGAATTGGTACAATTGTTCTCATGGTTGATTCAGCTCATGCCAGTCATGTATATTTAAACTACGTGTACATGTATGGTGTACTTGTTAACTTATTAAAATATCCTATAACTTGTGCATCAAGTGTTTTGATGTCCTTCTTGTTGTGCTGCTAATAAAACCTTGCTATTGCTTTTTATGGACAACGAAACTCTGCTTTATCTGACAGAAAACAAAGGAGGAACAGCAACCGGTGAGAGTGAGCCATTTATTTCTATGCATTTATATACATGCATGCACTTCATTTGAGTAGGCTTATCCTTTTGACTCTTGATTAAAAAAACAGAAAGAAGACTAAACCAAAGGGAAAATTGTCAAATAAATCAGCAGAAAAGCAGCCTTTTTGCTGAAATTGTCCGTCAAAATTTCCATCAAAATACCCACGACAGGCCATCAAAGACTAAGCAACAAAATAGTATTATAGTACAGCGACACGACAAGCCAAGTATATAAGAAAACTAAACAACAGACCACATTATCATAATTTGGATACAGAATAAGCAACAAAACGCAATCAAGAAGAAGGGACGAATTAAATTATTCAAACAACAGATACGGAAATAAATATCGAATGCCAGGGAAAGACATGAAAAATGGAATCGCCTACATTGCAAAAAAAAAAAAAAATTAACCAGCATATTTTAGGTATCAGCAACCAAACAGTACACAGAGATTAAGCAACATCAAGAAATGACAAAACCATTATGTATTGATAAACGTGATGACGTTAACTTTTCGATCGTCAGCGTCCCATACTTATGCAGCAATATACCTTCATCGCCTGCATACGAGGTTTACACATTGTATCTCTCAGTTGATTCGATGTACTGCAGCATTCTCTACGTATAATTAATATCTAAGGTGTGGTAAGCTATTGAAAGGCAAGTTGATGAAACTATAATATCTTTTTGTAAGTTCTATGGCGAATTGCGTACACATACAATATGGAAAAAATCGAGAAAAACCCAAAATAATTGCTCCACAAAAAATTATTTTTGGGATTTCTCCATTTTTTCCTTTTGTTCACATGATGAATAAGTGTAATGAATTTTAATTGTAATTATTATTTGTATAAAAAATGTCCAACAAGCACCGGGGTAGAATATTTGGGATGGGGTGGAGGTGGGGGTTACCTTCCACAAGTACCAAACAGTGTGTCTTGAACATTGATTTCCGTGCAGAATAACCAAGACCCATCATCATTAGTTTTCATAATGTTTGGCCACACAGTCAAAAACATTTTGTTTATCATGGTCCAATGCGTTTCGTTTTCCTTTCATTATATATTTTCTTTAAAAGACCTTGATGTCAATGAAGAATAAAACGCAAACCTTGACACTGAAAAAAATCCCGTTTTGTACATTCAAATTGCTTTTTTTTTTTTTAGAATACCACTCTTAAGACACTTTATTATACCCCCGCTTGAAAAGTGGGAGGGTATACTGTAATCGGTATATCCGCCCGTCTAGCTGTAAATCCATCCTTCCGTCCGCTTTGGGGTACCTATCTCTTATCCGCAACT